GGGGGGGGGGGGGGAGCAACAATCCCCGCTGGCCGGGGAAAAAAAGGAATAGAAACGCTCGAATCTGCAGACTGCACTCTCCTCCGCGCCAGACGTTCCGGTCGAGAGAGTGAGTGGGAGCAGGAAGAGGAGGAGGAAAAGGATGAGGATGAGGAGGATGAAGAGAAGGAGGAGGTTCGACCGAGTGGCGTGCCGCGGACGATTGATGACTCGTGACCCACTTTCTGTGCCGGTGACCCAGATGTGAGGGTGCCTGATGTAAGATATCGCTCTTTCCTACCTACTCTCTTCTTTCCGCTTCGTCCGATGCTGCTCTTCCGCACTCTCTCCGCTCTCTTTTTCTCTGTCCCGGGCTCTTGGTCTGCCTCGCGGCTGACAGTAGACAGTAGTGCCGACCCGGTTAGCGCTTTGACAACGAGTATTTCTTTGTTCTGATTGTTGATGGAAATTTGAGTTTTTTTCCACACGATAATATCAATGATATCATTCTTGTTAGGTAGGGATTGATACGTGTAACATCGTCGAATGTCAATTATTAGTTTACATGTGAAGTCTAATATAGTGTAATTACAGTTTTTGACTCTTCTTTGGGCTAATTTGGCTTCACTTCGGCTTCAATGATATATGCGTCATCTCATTATATAGGGATTGGTATATGTAACATCGTCAAATATTGAATATTAGTTCTCATGTGGAGAGTCGAATATAGTGTACAGAATAATTATAGCTCTGGGCCTCTTTTTGAAGTAACTTGGTTTCACCTTGACTTCAACAATGTACATCATTTCGTCATATAAGGATTAGTATGTAGGCTAATATCAATCTTAAATATCAATTATTAGTTTACATATAGAATCTGGTGTAATATACGATGTAATTATAATTCCGGATTCTTCTCTGGGGTAGCTTGGCCTCACCTTTGCTGGATGCAATGGTTACTCAGCTCGCGCTATCCCGTGCGCGGAATGACAGCGAGGATGTATAGCGAGGCTCGTTGGCGCTGAATATCGTGAACTACTTCCAAGTTGGCTTATGAGGATTTTCAGACAAACTGATCGCTCCTTATTTCAGGAACGATGTTCGCCAAACTACGAAAATCCACTCAAAAGCAGACGCGTCCTCCAGACGTGTTACTTAAAGCTAGCTCGAATGTTTGTCTTTTAAAGCGAAGATTCGTGTTTGTAGGTTTCTATTTGAACGGTGCAAGCTCAATGTGACGGTACTTTGTGTCATTTGACGTTATATCACACTGCGGACTAGCAATATAAACTTTTTTGCCCGCGGAGTTAGCTGATGTTACGTCTCGCCATTAACCTGAGCCGTCCATATAGACTTTCCGATGATTATCACGACGTGAGAAAATCTGAGTGTTTTTCGTCGCTGTTTCGTGATGAATTTGAGTGTCACCACTTAAAAGATGATGCAACCTCTGCAGATCGAATGACAAAATCGCTGTCAAGTTTATGTGTACACCTGTCTAGACGAGGATAACGTCGGGCCGTCGTTTTGCGTGCGAGAAATTATTACCGTCAGGTAATTTAAGCGAAGTGCATTTTAAACGAGCGACTTATCGCCCGATGAATCATCGACGGCGATCGTTACTCCATTTCTCGCGCATGATTCATCGTAGATAGACGACGGTGATATCAGCGGAACTCGTTACACTTTATCAATATTATCCCATGTAAGTTGACGCGTCACACGCAGAAATAGTAATACTGATGGAGAACGGAATTTACGTAACCGCCGGGGAATTCTTTCCGCTGCTCCAGCATTTCAGCCGTGTTCTTTTGATATTTCTACGAATTTGAATCGCTCTTCTTCTTCCACTTTCGCCGCTTTTTAAAAGTTCGAATCTTCTATTCAGCGCGTAGAATTCACACAATTAAAAAAGAAGAAAGAAGAAAAAAGAGAAACCACTCTCTCTAATTCCACAAAATCTCCCGAAACATTTTTTCCTCCCTCTTTCTTTTTTCGCTTTTCCTCCTTTTTATCCGATTTACTCGGACCTTTTTATGTCAATTTTATCAAACTTTATTCGCACGAAGGCGGAATCAGAAAGCCGCGGGAGTCCTACATTTTTTCCTCGTAATCCGCCGCGCTTTACAGCGCTCGTACTTCGCGACGCGCGCTCGCGCCAGCAAAGAGAAGGAAAGAGACGGTGGATGCAGGCGCAAGATTTGTTTATGAAATTTATGCTAAGTTGAGGTATAAGAAACTCGGATAAGCACGAGGCAGGTAAATTCGTCTCTGTCAGTCCGTGTCGCGACGGATAGACGACGCTCTGCGCGGTGTCGACGACGACGACTCGTTCTCTCTTTCTCTCTCACCTCCTTTACTCACCCTCAGCTTTCTCCGATCCCTCGGCGAATTGTGACAGCGTCGTCCGCGCCGGAAGGATACGACGCCGCGCGGCGCGAGCGACGGCGGCGACGGCGACGAAAGAAGGCCGAGTGGGAGAGATCGGCCGGTTAAGTGGGGACGAAGTTCCCCCGTGGTGGAGGGTGTTCGCGACTGCGGTGGAGGTGGCAGGGGCGAGCAGTGGGGAGACCTCCACGTCGCAAAGAGAGAGAGAGAGAGAGAGAGTAAGTACGGAGCTACGGTGTGCGCGGTCCGCGGCGGCAGCTTCAGTGTCGTTCCGGCCGCGGCGTCGTTCGGTCGTTTGCTGACGAATCGCGTACCTAGCACGGTATTCCTCAGCGTCGCGACCGATCGTCTATCACTTCCCGGCCTACTTTCGCCTCGGCGCGCGGTATACGTTACTCACGAAGCGAAGAGCGACGGCGTGACGTGCCCGTCGTCTCGCTTCGTCGTGTCACGGCAGATCTGCGAGTCTTGACCGGTCAGTCGCGCTGGGAGATCCTCAGCGATGAAGATGGGCTAGATCTGAGAAAGAGCCGCGATTTCTGTTCTCTCCTCTCTTTCCCTTTTCTTCTCGAAACGCGTAAAGATCGGTGGAGTATAATGTGTCGTGACAAGTAGGGCAGTTTCCATCGGATTGTTGTCGAGTGTGTCAGTGCTGGGTCGAGGTTAACTGTACGAAGAGAGAGACCGTCGTCGAGAGTGTGACAATCGCAGCGACAGCTGGTGCTTAGCACCTGGTGGCATCGTTCGCGGGCGCGTTGTAAGATGAGCCCGGCCTCCCAGGGCGCCCTGGAGGTGGAGCGTTACATCGGCAGCTGCCTCATCTCGTCCAACGTACGCACCGGACTGCACGGCAAAGCCGCGGTCTGCAGGAAGCAGGAGCAGTCGACGATACGTGGCAAAAGCCGTGGCTGTTATAGCAATGGACAGACTTATCCCGTGGCAACTGCTGGCGATCAGCAGTGTCAGGTGCAATACGGTCCTGGTGGTTGGACGGGTGCGCCACTGATATCGATGACGTCGAGCCCGCGCAGGTGTAATCAACGTTCATCGCCGTCATTGCCTCAGCAGCAGCAGCAGCAACAAACGTGTACCGATCAGCAGCAGCAGCAGCAACAACAGCAGATACCACCGGCTGGTCACCTGCACAAGAGTCCTTTGTCTAGATTGGCGATTCATACGCAGGGTGCGCCTTTAATTTTAGCCGGACGGTTCTACAACCGCGGCAAAGCGCACTGCAACAACAGCAATAGCAGCAACAACAGCGGCAGTCCAAACGGGGGCGCCAACACGCTCTGCGGCAATATCGGAAATGTCGCCGGAAACTACGTTCACAACAACGCGAACCCGTCCATGACGAGCAACGCGAATAACGCAACAAGATGCTCGGCGTCTCGCATCGTCGCTCAAAGGCCGGTGGAGGCTACCCCGAAAAAACCAACGACAATGACGAACCCCAAGACTGCTGTGAACTCCGAGTGCCCATCTGGCGCCGGCAAAGAAAATGCCAATTCGTCGAGCATCGCGAATATCGACTCGCTGAGCATCGCCAGCGACGAGAGCTCCGGTTCGAACAATTCAGAGAACAGTTTGCCGCGCATTATCAAACCTCGCAAACGCAGAAAGAAAGACCGCAAACCGCTCAACGTCGTCGCGAGCGGTGTCGACGCGGGTAAACCCGAAGAGACGCAGCAACGTCAGCAGCAGCAGCAGCCGTCGTCGTCGTCGTCGTCGTCTTCGTCGACATCGTCGTCAGTCTGCATCGCGGGCACTGTCGAGCCGACCGGTGTCCTTATGAACGCGAAATCGTACGTGGCAGGAGCACCTTCTTGCTACGAGCCGCGTCTTTACGAGACACCGCCGCCGCCGCATCTCAGGAACTATCGTAGGCCGCCGCTCGGCCACCGCGAGAACGCTTATGGCGGCTGCAGGGCACCTTTGATGCAGGAGGCGGCCGACATGAGGCAGCGGTACGCGCACCACCGGCACGCGCAAGTGAAAGTGCTGGATGATAACCGTAACGTGGTGACGACGCCAATGCGCGGCGCCGCGCCACCCAAGGGCTATCGCCACTACCACGTCTCCTCCAATGTGAACGCCAATGGTAACTGCAGCAACAATAACCTGTCGCGACGTTACGCCCACGAGTACGGCGATGTCATGACGCCGGCGACGACGGTGCCCTGCGAAGTCGCCGCCAGGGACGGCATGGGTGCTGCTTGTCAGTGCCGGTATTGCGACCCTTCCGGCTTAATCTGGGACGTGGATCGCAACGGTTACTCACCATTCCTCACGGCGACGTCTAGCGTGGAATACTCTCGCGGTCACTTCGGACAGATGCCGCTGTTCCTGACACCGCCGAGTCTGCAGCAGCAACAGCAACAAGAGCGCGCGCTCGACAGACTGTTCGACGAGCATCCACGGCCACACGACGACGTCAGGGACACCGGCGGCGTGGTGCTGAGGCGCAGCTGGAGCGACCCAACGAGTTACTTCAGCTACGAAGAGATCGCCGCGCCCGCGAGGGACGTCGGCGTCATCGGCGACCGGGGTCAGGCGGACAGTAGCAAACGACGAACTCCGTGGCGCGGCGATAGCATCGGTGCGCCCACCAGCTCGTCCACGAGCACGGATCCGAGTGGCTTCAACGCCGCCGGTGTCGCGTCACCCAAAGGTCTGGAGGTGTCCACGGAGATCATCACGTCACCCAACGGTCACCGGGACCTGGAGATCAAGTTCTACTCGTCACCGTCGCCGAACGCGCCCGTCGAACGCGAAGAGGACAAATCGTCGAGCGCAGGAGACGACGAGGACGACGACTTTAGTGACATTTGGAGTTACCACGAGTCCAAGTTGCAGCAAGACTTCCGTACGCTGCTGCAGGCGGAGGAGTAATCGTCGACGAATGTCATCGTCGTTGTCGTTTTTGTCGTCAGTCGCGCGCGTGCATCCGAAAGCATCTTCGAGCGCGACTGTTCTCGCGGTCATTCGGTCGTTCGTCGCATTCGCTGCAGCGCGCAGTGAGAGCGAAACGAGGAACACTGATCACGACGACGACGACGACGACGACGACGACGACGACACAGCGGCAACAGTAAGCGCGGCGAGAAGGAGAGTGCGTGGGTGCCTGCTTGAGGCCCGTCGCGGGACGGAGGAGAGTGGTTTCCACGTCAGCACGAAGGAGTGGAACGAGTTCTCGTCCGTCTTTCATCGCGCGTCAACATCTCGGTCGGTAGGGAACGAGGGACTTGCTACGTCGCTCTGTCTACCCGTTCCTGTTCGTCTTTCCTCTTCCTTGCTCTCGCGCACACTCAGCGTCGCTTTTCTGTGTGGTCGACGAAGGTGTCAAGACCGAGGTGCGAGTGTTCGCGCGTTGTTCTTACGAAGCAGCCACGAAACCTCGGCAAGACAGCTACTACTATGACGACGACGACGCGACGACAAAGAAGAAGACGAAGAAGAATAAGAAGACAAGCACCACAACGACTGGGACGACAACAGGCTCCTCTCCTCGCCGCTAACGGTGTTCGTAGTATAACGTGACGTGACGTGCGTGCACGCGACGCGCCCGCGGAACTATGCCGTTTCCCTGGCGCTTCTTCTAGGTGATGTTCCGCGACTTCGACAAAGCAGATGATGTGTCGATTAGATCCGCGAGCGTGTTAGTCCCCATAGAGGCCGGAGGAATGCGCGCGCGTGTATGTGTGTATGTAGCTCTTCATGAGTATGCGTGCGTGGATGCGTGTGTATATATATCGCGTAATGCGCGTGACTCTACGTCGGTTAGGCCTCTTTACGCACGAGTTTTCGCCGTCGTAGATTGTGCTGGTGATGGTGGTGATGGTGGTGGTGGTGCAGCAGCAACAACGGTCACCGGGTCCCGCAGAGAGTCGCTCGTATATTTATGCAAGTGCTTGTTCCCATTCCTCCCTCTCGTTTACGCAAGATCCCGCTCCGAGATCCGAAGGTGGCGAAGGAGTGCTAATCGAATTACTGTTGGTTATTGCCCGGCGGAAAAGTATTCGCGTTCTTGAGAGAATGATTGCAAGGTCCGCGTTACATTTCTACTGTTTTTCTCTTCATATTTGCGCAAGTTTCACGATCAACACTTCGTTCGCGAATGCGGACTTGAGAATTCTTTAAAAAAAGGGAACTTCGATCGATTGACTCGGTCGATTCTCCCGAAAAAAAGCTTAGGTAATCTTAGCCGGCCTAAGCAACGACGACTACGCGCGAGTCTGTATGCACGGTTGCGGCCACTTTCTCCTCGTTTTCGTGGTTGTAGGGAGAGATAGCCTGTGTCTGTGACTCACGACGAGAAACCACGCCGAAAAGAGGTCTCGAGGTCGAGAAACGATGAACCATAAGAACGCAAGGCACAAGGGACCGGCGAAGAAATTAAATACGATATTTCCGACATTTCGTGTCTTGTCAAACAGAGAATTGCGGAATACTCCATTCGCCATGCCCTTTCGTAGACGTGGGACTACTTATCTCTTATCTGTCTACTGTTTCTCCACTTATCGACCGATTGTCCTCGCGAATGTGATACTGCGAGTTTTTCTCAGGAATCAATCACTTATTACATCTCGTTTTCGCGCTTTTCACGCAAACGTTCTCACGCTCGATTACGTCTCGACCATGCATGATTCTTCCCGACTAGAAATCTATCCCATGGCCTTGATCAGGTTGATCTCAATCAATCGCTTGTTGCGTACAAGATGATGTTGGGTCCTGATGAGTCATGCAACGTAACATAGCAATCAGTACCTGATAATAACTAGGATTATTAATTAGGACCTTGTATGTGTGATATAATGAGAAAAAGATAGTTAAAAATTTATTTGTGGAGTAACAGTTCATTTCACGAAAATAAATCTTACAAATAAATTTTCTAATATTTCCTTCTTGGCTCGGACCTGATAGTATCAAATCAAATAATTTATTTTAATAATTTATTAGTTAAAATTGAACTTTCCGCATACCATGTTGAGTCTATGAGATCCAGACGAACACTAGATTGCTCACCAACCTTCGCAAAGGGTCTGGGACCCTTCAAAATTTCAAAATAGTGTAAATCAGTTTGTAGATTATTATATTCCATTTCTATCTTACAGCCAACGTTGTTTTATACACCTGGAAAAAATGTGTCCAAAAAGATTGATTTTTAACAAGATTATGATAGTTCAAAGTTGCCTGAATTTGACAAACCTAGATTGTGTCCTAAAAAATATGGTTGTACGTGGATTGATCAGAACCATGGAATAAATTTCTAATTGGACGTGTCTAGAAAGTTATCTTCCTTGACTCATGTGATTGTCCAACACACAACACGTTAAAAGTTCGTCTTTGGTATGAACTTTGCTTTCTGGTTGCTCATGCATGCAATAACATTCATGGTTTCGACAAGGCGTCGATTTTCTGTATTGTCAGTCTGCGAGAGGTCAATACATGAGTCAAGAGAGCTCAAACGTCGCTTCACGCGTGATCGCAAATGCTCGACGGTGCTTATGATGACGCACGCTGACACGGCGACGGGCGTAAACGTCGGTCGACGAAAACACAACGCGACGAGACGAAGTTGCAGTCGGCGCGGTTTCTCGGCGTGCGACCATATCGCGTCGAAGGGTTTTAATCGCGAGAGGGTCAAGCGCGCAGCAACACTTGCGATACACACACACACACACACGCACGCTTTTTCTCGTTGCCGCGCAAGACGAGTAGCGACGACGTGACCGTTTAAAACGTAACGTAGCAATTAATCGGAGGAACGATGAACGGTCCGCCGCCACCGCCGCCGCCGTCGCCGCCGATCGTAATCGACGTCTGCGCCTTCTTCCTCGCCTCTCCTCTCGCGCCGATCGCGGCGATAGTAGGTCGAACTGTTTCCCCTAGCACAGGAGAGAATCTCCTCCTTTCTGCCGCGTCCTCCTCCTCTTCTTTCTCTCGTCGTCGTTTTCTTCTTCTTCTTCTTCCTCGGAGAGCAGCCGAAGTCTGCCTCTCGCGTGAAAGGAGCTACCGTCCGTATTAGTAACTGCGTTTAATCGCGCGCTATCGCCGCGTTTTATCGGATAACTCGACTCGCCGGCGCGGCTCGCAACGGTCCAGTGCCGGACTTCAGCAGCCGCCGATAACCGCGGCTCGAGCCCGAGTTTGTAACATTGTTTCATGCGTCCCATCTCTCTCGTCGCCAAGCGCCGTTTACCGTTCGCTAAATAACGGCGGGGTAGATAAACGCGTTATTGATTTGTTGTATCAATACCTGAGAAGTGGAGCTGCCTCGTCGTTCCGCTTCGGCTCGCGGCTGGAAGGGATATATTGTCATACGTTCCGTTAACGGAGACGTCCAAATCGACCGGCGTCGAGGAGGATCGCAAGACCGATCGTGAGTTTCCCCAGTAGTACGTTCACCTGAATGTTGGCTCGTGTAAACAAGTAATCTCGGCTTTTCGAGATAAAATAGAATGATATTTTTAGTGAAGCAAGGTAATAGCAATATACAATATTATTTCAACATTTTTTGGCATTGAACTTTCTTATCGATGAAAATCCACTTAAGAGCATTCATTGTACATTATTTAAAGTATCTTAGCAAAAATTCGTGGCAATAGGAAAACTTTAGTGGCGTGGGTAGTATTCGGAAGTTCATTTTTATGAATTTTTAATTAATAATTATAATTTTTCGTTATAATTTTCTAGAACAATGTATACACTATTTTGATCTATGATCATCATCACATTCGTACGCAGCGTCTCATAAAATTACAACATAAAAATATGATTATTAAACTTTAGGAAAAATTCCTGAGAAATTCGAAATTACTTGTCATACAACCCAACACATAAGATTAAATCGTGGCCAATATAATTTCACATTTAACTCTTGGCGAAACATATGAATACGTCCGACTAGCGGAGTCTCAGCACTGAATAATTTATTCCTTCCGCCTTCCAGAGTGATAAAACGGATCGATTACACACAGCGTGCTCTTAATTCACACACATACACACACACTCATTTAACGAAATCGGATTCCATTCCCACCGAGTTGCAATATTCGTCAGCGCGATAACATTCGCGTAAGAGATCCGCCGTCCTGCGTCTTATTAGATAAGGGAGAGTAATTTTCGCGAAATCTCCCAATGCGGAAATTCAGTCGATTGATCGATCGGCCCAGCTTCGCGCGAGATCCACTATCGCGCCGATCGAGATGTGACGGGTCGAGAGGATGGAAGGCGCGGCAGAGGAATTACCGGACTCGCGGCGGACAGAATCAGGCGCGACCCGGGACTATATCTACATTAGCGAAAGGCCATCGCGCAGATTTACACAGAGCGTAGAACGTAAACGTAGAAGCGCGTCGGCCGGTCACACGCGCGTACACACAGACTCACAATATACATCAGCCACGCACACGAGCATACCACGTTGGCTGGAGCGCGGAGAGTCGCGTCGTGATAGGTCGACTCGTTCCTCTGTAAATCTGCGCTCGATGATCGAGAGCCTCGGAGGCCGACGAATCCTGCGAATCCTCGTCGTTTTGTAAGCGATATACGAACACTACACCACCTGTCCCCCTTCCGCCCCGCGTTAAACACGCGAACACACATTTTATCACGAGCCACCAACATCGTACACACCACATATATACACTATATATACATCGCATACATACCACATGTACAACCAACCCAACCACCCATCGTTAGACGTAAGTCTAGAATTTAAGGCGATCCATTTAGATTTATCTTCGTTGTCTATATGTGTATAGAAGAAATCGTGCGAGGACGGTCGGTCCGCCTCTCACGATTACGGAGCGCGCCGGAAAAAGAGGACGACGATGACGATGATGACGAGGCATCGATCCGGGGATACAATCGTGCGAATGTTTTTTTTTTTTTTCGTGTAATACGCGCATTTCATTTTGGAGAAACGGAGGGTGAAGGAACAAGCGAGAGAGAGAGAAAGAAAGAGAAAGAGAGGTATCTCTCTTTCTCTCCTTCGCGGTATGTCTCTCAACGTAAAAAAAGTTCGTAAAGATCGAATGTGAGTATTGTATTATCTTTCTCTCTCTCTCTTTTGTTGTAATAGAGTATGGTTACATATATATTGCGATATATACGATAATTATATACATATACTTATATATATATACATAAACACACACATATATATATACATATATATATTACGAATGCGAGAGCAGCGATCGGCGATGGAAGCGGCATTGGCGCTCGGGTTGTCCAAAGTGTACACGGAGAATAATTCATGAATATTTATAGCTGCCGTTTCTCCAAAAGGAAAAGAAAAAGGGGAGGAAACGCGCGGGCGCGCATTAAACTAGGAGAAACCGATGAAATCTTGTTAGTATTCAGTGCACTCAGTGCGCTGGGCTACGAAGGGCAGGCCGTAAAAATTCCCCGTCGACCACGACGACGACGACGACGACGACCACAACGACGGAGAGAATCTCCGTTTAGGCTAACGGGTGTGCGCTTTGTGCCGAGTTCGACGTACGTATGTACGAACGAACGAACGCGACGAGCGTGTTCCCGGGCGAAGAATGATATTAGCAATATTTCTCTCTTGCCGGCTCGCACCTTGCGTGGCAAGTTTTATTGCCAAGTGGCGACAGATAAATATTGTCCTTGGCTCCTTGTTAAGGCAGCGCGCGCGCGCGACGCATCGATGCATAATCATGCGATGCGTGCGCGAGGAAATCGCTTGAGAGGGAAAGAATGAGCGAGCGAGTGAGTGGATGAATGAACGAGAGACGGTGAGAGAGAGGAAGGCAGAAAGAGCGAGCGAACCGCTGCTTTAATAACATCGTCGTCGATATTTTTCCTCGGGGATTCTTATTGGTCGCACGCGAGAGAGGCCTGTCGCGAATGTTCGCTCGTGTTTCATCCAATCGCGCGATGCGTTCTTCGATGCCTCGTATGTATGTGTCTGTCTGTTTGACTGGATGCGTGCGTGCGTGTGCGCGCGCGCGTGTGTGTATGTGTGTCGACGCGATTTTCGATTGCATTTGAACGCTGTCGCACGGACGCGCTGTATGAACGCACCAACTGCACGGAGGTGATGCGTTGGGAAAGAGAAAAAGTGAAACAGGCCAGAGCCCGCATTCAAGTCGGCCGACGACGAGTGAGAGCCAGTTTTAAGATTAAAGCCGTAAAAGCGCGCTATCTTCTTTTCTCTCTCTCTCTCTCTCTCTCTCTTTGTCTCTCTCGTCTGAGCGCGCAAATGGTCTCTCGTATTAAGTACGGTAGCGTATGGTCGAGTCGAGTGCACGAGTCGCACAGCAAATTTGAATGAGAGAATTAAAGGAGGGAAATTATAGTCTTGTAGGTCTTCGCCTACTAGCGAAGGATTCGCAGATTTACGAGTCGTCGTCGTCGTGGCTTTTGCTGCTGCACAAACGTTTCCGCGCAATTTCACCCCGGCCGCCTTTTCGTCCGATTTAAGTGCGGTTCCGCTTTGATAACTGGATGGTCGAGCTCTTCTCGCAGCGCTTTCGTTGCTCGTTCTCGTCGTGATGTTGTGAAAATACGCGGTTCCTATAACGCACTCCAACGACGACGAGAAGCACGCGACGAGCTTAGTGACAGAATTTTGTTCTCGGCAGAAAATGATAATAGCGCGGCAAATACGCGTCTGCCGTTACCTCTTTCTTCCGTGAGGCAAGGTGTCTCGGCTCGGAGAGGTTCGAGTGTCCTCTCGAACGCTTGGAGAACTACGACGATGACGCTCCGGTGTTAGCCGTGGAACATGTTACGGACAGTTCTCTGGCGATGCATCAGCGGATCCGACCTAATTTATTTGCCGTTGCAGCGCCCAAGAAATTTGTCAAGACGCGCGAACGCGAATGCCGCGCTCTCGGGGCAAGTGAAGTGTGAATACACGAACAAATGAGAAAAGCGAAAGAATGATGATACGCTTGTGTTTCGGAGACTGAAAGAAAAGCAATCCCATCATCGTCGGGCACGCTCTCGAGGAGCTCCTCGTCACGCGCTACTTCCCGGAAGTCGCTGTGGTATACGTATGGGAAACCGGAAAAACAGGAAGAGAGTATATTTTTCTTTGGCAAACGCCGTTGCTTCGAAACCTAATGCTCGCGATTTTTATTTCTCTCCGCCTAATAGCCGGGAGAAGAACGGGCCGAAGAACGGCGAAAGTAACCGCGGCGAATGTCGGATAAATAGACCCGCATAGAAAATTTGGTAGGATCTAATCCAGTCCAACTTGATAAAGAAATTATAGATTCTGGTTGTAATGTTTCAAATATGCGATTCTAAGTAGGGGAAATCCAAAATTTCCTAATATTTTTTCTCTAATTTTCATTTTACGGAAGGATTGAATAAAACATCGATTTTACAAATTATTTTATTATTCGGCAAAATACTCAATGTGTTCTTAAAATATTTCATCTTCTGGTATTTTATCCACACACAAGTTAGCATATAAATGGGATTTGATATCATAAAAGTGTACTGACATTACCAACTGAAAAAAGCGCAAGTTTTCATATACTTTTTTGATTCTAGACAGAGAACCTACATTTCCAATTGGTATTATTGGGAGGTAACCAATTCTGTAGGGCAAATTTGAACATTCCAGTTATAATCTATGCTGCATTTGGAAGAATTCTGAGAAATTTCCTATGCGAGAAGCGAAAGGATTTTTTACGAAAATAATGGAAACACAGAAGGCTTTTAATGAGGTCGAAACGTTCGGCGCACGTCGCGCGACAACTCGAATATGTGTATTTACAATTAAGGAGAGATAGGTATTACGATGTAAAATATCACACAGAGAATTGTACACACGTAGGCTCGCCGGATCGTCGACGCACGTTTGTTCTCGCTGCCCGGCGAACGTCTCCTCAAGTTTCTCGACGTCGCTTTTCCCGACCGCCCGATGTGATCACTTTTAGAAAAATCGTGCTTTCCGCCTGATCTGATCTCTGACGAAGACAGAGGGAGAGACTCGAAAACAGCCGAAATGGTGGGAGTTCGCGCGGTGTTTAATAACAATTCTCACGGTATCTCTTTTACTATTTCTCTCTGTCTCTCTCTCTCTTCCTCGCTCTTTATCCCAATATTTCGTTCCCCATGTCGGCCGTCATTTTGATTCTCTCGCCCTCCTGCTTCTCCTTTATGTATTTATTTCACTCATTGTCGATTGACGTTAATAACGTATTGTGATAATGCAACGATATGACACATGTACACTCATACGCCGATATATACAACACACACACACGTATACATACATATGTACAAACACACAACAGAGACTCGGCTCCGCTTCGTCGTAATAGACTGATCAACCAAGCCGACCTGCCAGCGTTGCCCATAGTGCTATGCTGCACTAACTCGAAATCACACTGTTTGAAGGAATCAATAAAAATGTCTTTAATTTATCCGTGGTCGTTGCTTTCCTCACTTTACGTTCCACGTTTTCCTACCCACAGAAAAATACATACATACTGCGTTTGGTAAGAAACGTTTGGTAATTAACCATCAAGTCTGAATAATAGTTATTAGACTTCAGTGAAATAGTCAAATAGTTTCTAAACGTGTGAAGTAAAAGTGAATATAATCAAATAATATATCTGATAAATATTAATAAATAATCTTAAGAAGGCTTGGTATTTAAACTTCGTATCTCTTGCACTGTGTGTGTGTGTGGGTGTGTGTGTGTGTGTATGTGTGTGTGTGTGTGAGAAAAAATAGTTGATCTCACAAAAAATTTGTAGTTATTTTCGATGCTATAATTTCTTATTATTTCAACAAAAAAGTAATAATAGCAAAATATGTAAGGTTATTATCACCAACATACTATAGTAAAAGTCACAAGTCGTTTCTTCTGCTTATAATTCTTTCATTATGTGATTATGGTCGTAAGTATGAAACATTTATTTTCTTAATGTGCTAAAACTTGGTGATTATTATCAATTTATGCGTGATAATATGTAATGAAATGATTCATGAAATAAAATCATATAGTTTAGTAACACATTTATATTATGTGTAATTAAATTCGAAATTATCATATATCTTGATAATAGTCAAACTATTCAGTAATCATTGCCAAATTGTTTGATATTAATTAGCAGACTATCAAATTACACATTTGATTGTTCAAACTAAATGAGAAATTTGTTTTACTAATTATTTGGTAATTATTATCAGAGACGATTGTGTGCGTCAACTATTACTATATTTGATATTAATTATGAAATATTGTATAGAAAAGCTCCAGCAAATGCATTTGTTAACTATTACAAGGTTTTTTCTTGGTGTAAGTAGGTGTGAAATTTAGATGAGCAATGACAACTGCAATAAACAACTGCCATCGTCAATCGGGCGCGATGATGCTGAAGCGGTAATTACGCGAGAGGACAGCCAACGCTAATTTTGCGTGCACGCGTGTGTGGCATTTAAGCGACTCTCGCCTATAGATGAGAGCATCACACTATCGTGTTTAATTAATCGTTACCATTTGACGAAACAATCGCGGCGATTTTGACATTCATCGGACTATTATCACGCTGCGCGGCTCTGCGCCTCTCTTGCTCCTCGTGCTATTTCTATTCAATCAACGATAAATTAGTGTTCCGCAAGTGCTGCTCTCGCCGGAACTCGCAGCAATTTCTCGCACCGGCCGGGGAAACTAATTCCGGAGGGCGAAAGGCAGAAATTGGACTGGCGCGTATATTTTTTCCCTTTCTCTCGTGTCCCTTTTTTCTTTTACTGGCGTAAGCGTCAATTCGTTTCACGGTAAACGAAGTCACGCGAGGATAACGATAACTCAATCCCTCTTTCGCACTCACGTTTCTTTTCGCTCGCTTCTCCCCCCTTTTTCTCTGTCTCTCTCTCTTCCATTCTTTTTCTCTTTGGTGCGCGCGTGCGTGAACAAATCAGTCGAAAATATACGCGGGCGTTCAATTTACTCGTTTATTCAGATGAAAATTACTGAGACGGCAATTTCACCTTCCGCTCGTTACACACGGCGAAGGTGAAATACTACGGTTGCCGGCCGCATGACGTAGCGCGTATTATAACGAGTTTGACTTATGGTAAGTACGGTAACAGAGAGTTTGATACGTATTTAAGATTATACGTATCCCGTTTGCGGGCTGATTTATCACCGGCGGCGATTTAATATCCGACAGGAGTAACGATGTTAAAACACTTAAGTCACGATCGTTCTCTCGCCTGCGTTATCGTCCCAACGGCCGAACGCGCCGCTCGGACGACGTAACGTAAATAAGGTGAGAGCGTCTAAACGGAATTGTAAATTGCAAAAAGAAGTGCGCGCTATTATTAGCATAAATTACACTGTCGCCGTTTCTCCATGCCGCGACATGTAATGCGACGTTCGATGTAACTCCCGATCGGGCGTCTGTGAACGATTTAATCTGAATATTTCTCGGCGTTTTTGTTTGATAACGTTATTGCACCGTCTAACAAGGATGATTAATTAACTTTCGTATGACCGTGGATAGAAAATTTCTTGGGATCTAATTGGAATCCAGCCCGAGTTGAAATTTTTCTTTCGTCAACAAAATCCTTTTTTCCTGTGCGATATTTCTGTTTCGATTTGAAGTGGTTTGGAACAAGAATGATATTCCCAATTGGTCTCACAGTACGATAGCCAATTTTGGAATAAATTCGGGCATTCTAATTGAAATCTATGCTGGGAGATCTTGGAAAATTTCTATGTGAGTAGATGTGCGTAACGTTAAAAGTAATTAATTTTCCGAGCTCGGCCACGACTGAGACGCGCTTTCACACTTCCGGCCGTGACTCTGCGATCTTTACCAGCGGCTGCTGGCGCGCGCATTATCCTCCACTCGCCTATTACGTTTGTACGTCGTAATTTTACAAAGAGGAGCCCCGCCGCCGACTTCATCGACGGTCTCGCATCACCGCCCTCGGGACGCCCCCGTCTCCGCTCGCGTGAACTCGCGATTCCTCTCGGTTCCTCGTAAACTCGGGAATATGCACTTCTCCGGCGCGCACGCGCACGCCGCAGACATCGTTCGACGGCGCGGATGCCGACGACCTCTTCCTTATCTCGGAATTGAGTAATGGCCCCTTCGCGCCGTTCTCGCGTGTGGGTCGGTAAACTGCTATAATTCGCCCACGTTGCCGCGCATCCACTCCCTGCGCTGTTAACATCGGCTCTTTACACGCCCGGCTCGCCGCACCGCACCCCTTTTTCTTGCCGTGTCGTTGCCGCGTGGCCCTTATACGGTCGGTGTTGGACCTTGCGGTTCACTCGCTGCAATTATATAGCGGAGCCCGAGCGGCGCGCTCCCACCGGGAGCCAAAAATTCAATCGTCTCGCTGCCGACTATTGTTTTTCCGTATCCCCGAACGGCGACGAACGGAACGGGTGTTTCTCCCCGAAAATACCGCCGCTGTATAGCATCTACTCTTTGTACCTGCTAAACAAATATTTTCTCTGCAAATATCTTCCTTCTCTTTCTCTCTTCTCTTATCTCTCTTCGAAGGAACTCCATTTCAGAATTCTCTCCCGAAAATTCGCTCCTTTGTGGAACTGAAATAACCGACGTATTGGATGGTACGCCTTTTCGCGGAACCGATTCAACCGAATTTTCTTTCTTTTTTTCGAATAGATTGAATCTACTTTGTACAATGGTATATCTTATGGAAAAGAGGAAAAACAGTGGAAAATTTCATTTAATACTAATTAAAAAAAATTGCATTGAAATGCTTCACCAAATGCATTTGTTTATTACGAAACTTGTACAGTGTAAGATGTTTGTGTGATTTTTTGTTGATATCTCCTTTTTCTCTTTTATCACAATTTCTCCGCTAAGATATTCAGCAGCATAAATTTCTATTGGAAGTCGTATTTCTAAATTTTTCATCGAGCCAATCGCGCATAGAACGCGCAAGCGGACTACGCGCGAGATCAGACTCTCGGGGTCTCGTGCCGAAATGAATGTTCGTAATCAATGACACCTCATTAGCCGGTCGACGCATTGCTTAATAGCCTGAGGCATGCGGTGTCGATTGAATTAGCCGTCGGCATGTCGGTGTGCTCACGTGCCGCGCGACGTGATCCTTCTTACCGTGCACGCGACTTCGTCCCACGATGATAAAATAACTTTTTCAGTGCGCGATCCTTTGCGGCTTGCTCTCGCGAAATTATGCGCTATCCGCTGATTCGCGAACGTTCGGTCAGAAAAAAACTTACGACGGGGGAAAATGTTATATGCGTCGAATCATCTCGCAAATCGAGAAGCGCGTCGATACACGGCGTCCCGCTTGTGCAACGTCGTAAATTCAAATAAACAAGATGATGAAACCGAAAGAGCTGATATTTACGCGATTCCGACGTCGGGAATGCGAATTTAAAGCGGCGCGAGTGAATTTATCGGCGCGGCTCTTCGCGCCCGCAGTACCTAACGAACTCAGGTGATATCGCTACTAATTTATACGCGTATGACGTGTCTACCGCGCGGAGTCGGCGCTTTGCATTCGAATGTCGCTTGCGTGTCGCGATATATGGCGCGAGGTTTTATTACAATTTTATAGAAGTGTCCCGTCGTGGCGTGTACTAAACGGGAAATAAATTGTACGTCGCGCGTCGAAGTGTGCGAGACACGGAAAATTACATAAGGCGCACGCATGCGCGCGCGCGCGTCGATTCCTATCGAACGCTGCGCGAAAGTGCACCGAGTGTTTCATGCGCGCTTCGACTTTTTCACGACGAGTCTGTAATTATTTCCTGCTCCATCTATCTGTAATTTGCCACCGACTCCCGCCGATACAGTCCGTCGGATTTTTATCGCGCTCGCGTGTAATTATACACGATATTTCGCACACCTGACGATCGCCGCCGCAATGTCCGGATCAAATGCGATATATTATTGTAGCTTCTTTTTATCTATTGCGCGCGTCATCAGCGCGTGAGACTCACGTCGATGGCGGCGCGACACATTTCAGCTATCAGTCTGAAATTAGCTACTGAATGATCCGTTTTATAATCAATTTGAGAAAATAATTAGAAATAATTCCACCACAGTCGCATAATTTCTCATCGTCGGTCTCCGTATTGTTAATTAACTTGAGGTATTCGTTCGTTAGGAAAGGACCTCGGTACTTTTTTAAATCTCGATTCTTATTTCATCCGGATATTTTTTCCTTGATGAGGAAGGAAAAGAAGATCCACGCATCGAGAAACCGAGAAAAAGAGAGGAAGAAAGAGAAATAAGAAAGGGAGAGGGAGAGAGATCGTTCAAGGATCGTTATGCGGAGTCTCGCGGCGCGCTGCAGTTTCTCGCTAATTATGCGACCTGTCATTAAGACGCTCGCGAGACCCTAGGGCATAATACCGACCCGCCGTTGCACCGTCTCTCGGTCGGCTGTTTTTCATCCTCGGCGT